CTACGTGGGAAAAGTGCCGCGGGATGCGGTGTTGTCGGCATGGAGTGGTATTCGTCCCCTGGCAACGTTGAACGGGGGTTCAGAAAACAGTACCCAAAACATGGTCCGTGAGCACATGATCGCCGTGGATAAAGACCGCCTCATACTTAGCGTTACAGGAGGCAAATGGACGACATATCGCAAAATTGCCCAGGACGCCGTGGATAGTCTACGGGACACGCTGTTGAAAGACCGCATCCCCTTCAAGCCGTGTGTAACGGAGGAGATACAATTGATTGGAGCTCATAACATGGCATCTGTCCCCGCAGCTGCGCCAAGTGGCATCCCTGAAGACGTGCATCGTCATTGGAGGAGTCAGTACGGAGATCGTTACAACGTTCTTCTTGAAATGGTGCGTCGCAACCCGGCGGCGCTAAAGAAATTACACCCGGATGAGCCCATCGTGGAGGCCGAGGTGATATATGCGGCGCAACGGGAGCATTGTGAGCGTGTGCAAGACTTTATTGCCCGCCGCACACGACTGTCCTTTCTCAATGTTGACCATGCCAAGGCAATCATTCCCGAGGTTACGCGTGTTATGGCCGAGACGAAACGCTGGGGCCGATCCAAGAAAAATGAGGAGCTGGCGAATGCCTTTGCGTCCCTGGATAGTTTCCGGGCCAATTAATCTGCGCAAGGGAAATGTGAACAAACAATACAGTGTTTGAATGTGCGCATTTGTTTTTCCGCGTCTGTGCAGTCGAGAAGGAAGCGGGAATGATTTTGCGTGATACATACACCAACATAGTTGTTTTCTCTTTTTGGATACCATTGATTTTGTGTGACAGGGAGGAAATAAAGGAGAAAAAGAAAAAGGAAAAAAAAGAAGAACAATGAAGCACGCAAAGGAGTAAAGCATAGATAATAATAAAAAGCGAAGACAAAAGGGAGGCTAACGACATTCAAAAATATGTTGTCTTCCTTTTATTGTTGTTGTTGTTTTTTGTTTCCGCATGATACCTACCCCCCCAAAAAAAAAAATTTTATGTAAATCCATGCACCGTGCCATCCCGTCTGCCTCTATTTGGGGATTGGGGAGCGTTCCTTTTATGGTACACCAAACAGTCAAGCGAAGAGGGATTTTATTTTTCATAGTTCAGTGTCATGCCCCCTCCCCGCAGTACCGCCATGGCGTGTAACTGTTGTGAAAAACTGGCTTGAGTGCTGTCAAGGCCTTTTCTTATCACCCCGTGTTGCCAACTCGAAAGCAACACAGGTGGGAGGACTGTTATGTTACTGCAGAACGATAAAGCCGCACCTCCATTTGTATCACGTTTGTGTGTTGTGTGTTGTTGTTGTTTTTTATTTGAGTCTCTTCATCTCTGTTTTTTTTCCGCACGGGTGGGTGCCATTTTTTTTTTCTTTTATTATTATTTTGGGAGGTACTGGCGTGGCGACGGTGGGCATCGGAAATTCATTGGGAAAGCAGCGATAGAAAAAAGGGAATTGGGTGAATGAACGTTAGCGCTCTGTATTCGATTCCTTTTTCTTTTTGTTGCATCTATTTGTTTGTTTGTATTTATTTCCCTTTGATCTCTCTGTTACGTATGCACGTGTTGTTGTTGGTGGTGGTGTTTGTGTTTCTTTCTTTCTTTTACTTTGTTTTTTTTTAATTTTTTCTGTGGCAGAAGGGAGGGAGGCAGAAAATATACGCGGCTTGCGTACACCGCTCCAACCGGAGCTCAGGCACGTGCACCGATGGCAACTGCAGAGGAAATTGGGCCGGGCGGCGTCAACATTAAGGGCAAGCCCATCTTTTTAGCGGTAGACCATACCAGATGCGCTCCCAGCACAGAGCGTGAGCTTTCTGACCAGGAGCTACTCGCATGGAGGTCATTTCAGCTCTGGCGATCCACATTGTCGGTGGAGCGTCGTGATAACGTCTATAAATCACTTACAAACTCGGACTACACCAATTTCCGCTTAGCACACCACATTATGGGTACTCCATTCCCGGTGGTGGACACCACCCCAGGAATATTTGACGTTGGCAAGTCCGTGCGGTGGTACGAGCACGCCATCTCCGTCGCGGTGGCTCTCGCGTACGGCTACTGGATCCGCTCCAAGGCCTCAACACGCAATGCACGCATGATGCCCATGTCACGCTCAGCCATTACACTGTTGACATTTTTTTCTATGGACTTGTGTTTCTTCTACCGAAGCATGTATCGCCTTACTGGATATCTTCCCAATGACTATGAATGTCGAAAGTATGGTGTCATGGAAGACAAGGAACGACTGGAACGCAAAAAAGTTTTATGGGAGAAATACGCCAAATACAAGAAGGAATGGTGTCGTCGCTTTGATTACCATGTGTATGGCATCCGTCCGGGTGAAAATTGGAGCTTTTTTTCAGCCTGTCTTTTTCCTGCATGGGCGCCCATGTTCAACACCTGCACGGACTACCCGCCACGCAAGAACCCTTACTTCCTTACCGCCACACCACTGCGAAACATTTTTGCCGAGTCTCCGTTTACATATGAGATACCAAAGGATGAGACAGTGCCACTTGTGAAGGAACGTCCGGAGTTTAAGTACTTGTATCGCGGTCCTGAAAGAGAGGGAATCGTGAATGGAAAAAATTAGATGCTTCGTGTTTGAAGTCTTTTAGGAAGTTAGAGCAAAGGGGGATAGTGGGGGGAATGGAGAACAGGGGGAGGAGGGGGTTCATTCATTTATCCTCCTTTTTTTTTTTTTTTGCTATATGTGGGTGTGGCTGTGGGAATGGGAGAGTTATCGCACTTGTCTGCATGGGAGTAGTTTTTTCTTTTTTTTTCCCCCCTTTTTGTAATGGTATGCGTGTTTGTTTGTTTGCGCATAGAGCCATCGGGCCTTGGCAAGTGCGATGGAGTAGAAAGAAGGTGGCAGTCGACTCTTTTTTTTTTTTTTGTTGTTGTTGTTGTTGTTGTAGGAGGAGGAGGAAGAACTAAGAATGAAAGCAGCGGGAGTGGGGAGGAACGTCCTTCGGTGGGCGGTCATGTAAATGGGTGACGTGAAACCCTCGCTGGAACACACCTGTAACTTGTGGCTGCACGACCAGATTTTTCATTGAGGAAGGCCTTGGCTGACTCTCTTTTTGTCGAGGCCAAACTTTCTTTTTTTTTCTTCTTCTTCTCTTTCTTTCTCGCTTTCCATTGCTCTTCTTTACTCCTGTCGGTTTCAACTGGGACGCACATCAACAATCAACATGTAGGTCTTCCCTTCATGAAAAGTTGTATCACTCCACGTCAGACATGAAAAGTCCACAGGAAGACAGGCCAAGAAGCTTGAAGGCTTTGTGTGAAGCCGTCATTACAAACAGCTTGGGCGAGGGAGGGAAGAGACCATACCATAAAAAGAGGAAGGAGGAAGAGAATGAAGAAGAGGAAGTGAAGAGAAGTTTAGAGGCGCTCTTTAGCTCTGGCAATCCCGTGTTAGGTGGGTTGCCTGCCGTAAAAGGTTTGCGGGATGCCGTACGACTATTTGTGAAGAAACATGCATACTTGATAGAGAAGACAGGTGGCAACGACGTGGCGGGGGTGAGCAATGAACCCGTTAACCTGCGTGATGCTCTTTTAAGCAACCAAGAAGCCATGGAGAAAATTCGCGGAGAGTGGAAAGAAATACTGGAAAATATGTATGCTGTTGAAGGGGACGATAGTACCACACCGCCTGGCGAAACGTTGGAAACCGACGCAACCACATCGAGTAATTTTTTGTTTCTTGACGCCGGCCATACCGGGGCCTGGGAGGAGCTACAGTTGGAAGCGAAAACTCCTTGCAGCGACGCTCGTGGGTTCCTCGAGACTTGTGTGCGGGAGTGGGTGGAGGAGGGCCTTCCCATAGAAAAGGGAAAGCCAGGGGCATTTGTCCGGGCATTACGCGAAGTTATTGACACGGAGTTGGATTCCATCGTCTTTGATGATCATTGGGAAGCCTGGGTGAGTTCGTTGCTCATGTGTGTGGAGCTGCGGACAAAATCATCATCATCGACATCATGGGAAGTCCTCAGGCTTGTGGAGTTGATCTACAGTCGATGTACACCCCAACGGAAACTTCTGCTTCTGGACTTTATTGCCGAGGAAATCCAGCAGCCATTTGAGGGCGTGCCAATTTTGAAGGATTTTCTTTTGCAATTATTTCATCGAGTTCTTCTTTGTACTGCGGAGAATATTGTGGGCTTTATGGACGATGAAATTGCCCAGCTGGTCTTGAAGGGCCTGCGCGTTATCGCTGATCATCTTGCAAGTTTTGACACGATGGATCCGCAAGCAAGGTGGCTGAAACATATTTTGGTGCGCCCCTCTCTCGTCCGTGACATTGCCTCGCTTCCGAGCAGAGAGCCGGAACTGATCAACAAGCTAACGGCCGCCATGCCGGCACCACACGCTGTTGGGCTGATGTTGATTATGTTGCCTCTTTGGATGAAGGAGCCCGGTGATGAATGGACCTCGACACGTATCTTTGACAAACTAGTGGACGCTCTGTTAAACAAACACGTGCTAGATGATCTTGTGGAGGATGCCATGGCGTGCGTCGATCGCTGTCTTCGTGGTCTACACACCGAAAAGCGTCACGAGCACTTTGGTAAAGTCCACAGTTTTCTGCTCTCGCAGGAGTACAGTGAGGTGCAGGAGTCTGTGGGACGACTTTTGAGGCTCCTGCTGTGCTTTTCAATCCCTTCCGCGTATGACCCGGGCAAAAGTTACCGACTGCTGCCGACGCATCTGCGATCCCTCGAGGAGTACCTTCTTAGGCGATTGGAGAAATGGACGAGGAAGAATGCTACACACAAAATTGTAGTTGGTGATTTCTGGTGGGAAATTTTGCGTTGGCACGCAGCGGATTTGCCAAAAGTGGTTGCACGTGCCGTGCGAGCCATGTGCCGAGATGAGAGGCGTGTGGGATCGCCGTGGGATGAGGGCCATCTTGTTGCCATCAGTTACTCCGTTTCGTCCTGGCGTGGCCTTGAGGATGTCTTGGAAGATGAACAGCGTGCAGGTTCTCTTAACTACGTGGCTCTTCTTTTGAACATTTGCGCTGCTGCCAGCCGAGCGTCGTCGAGTTTGCAACAAGAGCGGCAGCAACAACAAAAACAACAACAACCGCCAGTGAGTTTGAATCCTACCGCCTGTTGGCTGCTCATGCGATGGTGCACGAATGCCTGCGCACGTCGTGGTTTGTTTCTTGCCACGACGGAAGTACTCCGGTCCCTCACGGATGACAGGGATGTCACGGAGGGCGGCCTTCTTGCCATCCCCGTAGAGGAGTTCGACTCCATTACTCACATGCCTCACGCTATCCCCGCACAAGAATTGAATCAAAAGCGCATGCTTGCAACAATACTTTCGGTCAGGTTATGGATTGCCACGCTGAACCCATTCTCCCAAACACCGAGCGTGGCGGAGTTGGATGTGACGGGAAAGCTGGCGCAGCAGCTCCAAACGTATTGGGTGGATTACGACAGCAACGTGTCGATGCCAGACAAGCCATTTGGTGAAGATTCTCTGTTGCTGTTGTTGTGTGTTCTTAGCATGAATAGGTTGACGAGGGTACGAAAATCTGGCAATCACAGTCAGGAATATATTTTGCAGGATTCATTGAAAAGGCTGCTGGCTGAAAGACGGGGGCATGATCCGGTTTGGCACCTCTTGCAGTTTTTGTTAACTGGTGTTGGCTCTGACCACCTCGCTGCCATTCTTGTACATCGATACGGAACGGCGCAGGAGGTCCCGTTACAGATTGATGTTGATAAATACGAGACTTCCGTGCTGCATGACGTTGGAGAAAAGGAGCTGGGCGCCATGAAAGACCTTATTGGCTTGAAGAAAGGAGATAAAGAACGGGAAACCAATTTACTTCCCGTTCTGCAACTTTTGCTTCAGTTAAATGGGGGAGATGTGTCTCGTGCGGTAGCGGCCTTTAAGAAACATTCCACGTCACGGTGGGAGGCGTACGGGCGTTGCATGGATTTAGCGGCCAGTGTTGTAGAGCGGCTTCTTAAAAGCTTCCCGTATCTGGAGGAGCGTATGCGCTGTGAAGGTGTGGATGTTTACTATCTCTCTCTACTCTGTACCCGACGATGGCTGCGGGATTCAGTGAAATTTCCAGACCTTGCTCGTGTCTCTATCGAGAAATTTATGCGACTTGGTCAGGCAGCATGGGAGGGCGTCGTTGCAGACAGCCTTGGCAAGCACATCGAGGCGCTCTGGGAGCAGTTCTCGGAGGCTGATGGATTATTACGTTTGTGTGCGGAGTCCGTGATATTGCCAGTGAGTCCTTTTTTGGTCTTGTGTCTGGCAACCGATTTTAGTCTCAAGGTGAATGTGTGATTCTTTGCCTACACGCACTTATATATATATATATACGATCTTAATGTTCTTTTCTTTGTTGAGGTTTTGGGGTGTTTTTGCGCTTTATTGTTTCGTTACACACATTTCTGTGCGTTTGCGTCTGTGTGCCCGAATGTGTTGCCATGCAATACCCCTCTGTTTATTTTTATTATATCTTGTGTCTTTTTTTTTTTTTTTTTTTTTTTTTTTTTTGTGTGTGTGTGGTGGCCTTTTGCCGAGGTTTTACTACAAGCTTTGATACAGGAGAGTTAAAAGGAGGAATGAGCAGTGCGGGGGGAAGGGGAGAGGGACAGAGCTCGCAGATCTGGCGACCCTCCCCGGAGGCGCAGTCTATCAGGGACCTCTCTTCTTCATGCACCGGGGAGGATGTGGGATTCATCGCAGGATCGAATGAAAGGGTTGTGCGTCTCGTAGTTGGGTCTTTGTCGGTGGTAGATTGGGTGCGTAGCCAATGGCTACTCGGGCTCCTCATTTTGAGTATTGGCATGGCGTATTACCATCCTGTCTCGGCAGGCATAGCCGCCAGTGCGTGGACGCGTATCCTTGTTTTTATTTCCTTTGCACTCAGTGGTGCGTCCTTTCCCGACATTGACAGGAGTGCCACGCTGCGATTTATGGGTCCCACCATCACCATGTTTGCAATGAGCTTTATTCTGTCTCCCATTTTGGGAGCAGCCATATATGTTATTTTTCGTAGTAGCAGCGGTGAGGACAACTACTTATTGGTTGGTTTAATGTGCACTTTTTGTTTGCCCCCGTCCGTGATTCTTTCTGTGGCGGCAACGCGCTCTTCGCAAGGGAATGAGGCTCTTTCACAATACCTGAGCGCGGTTGGTATCGTGTGTGGTGTGATTGCATCCCCATTGCTAATGCTGGCATGCATGTTATTCTCGTATTCAAGCAAGTTTCCAGTTACCGCAGACTTGATGCTTTTTCCTGCCACTGCCATTGGACCATTCTTTTTTGGCGTTATTGCACAAAAAATATTTGCTTGGGCGTCACATCGACGTATCACTGGGGAAGATCGCGAGTCTTTACGTATCACTAAGGCGGAGATGGCATGTTCTGAACTATGCAATGGTAGTCTCTTTTATTGGCGCCAGCGGGCCGTTCAGCTTAATAGCCTTGTGTTACTCCTAGTTAACTACTTCATGTTTAGTTCATTCTTTGTTCAGTCAATCGCCCCAAGTTTCTTGACATGGCGAGGCGTCGGACTGATATCTTTTGTGGAGTTGACATTGTACATCGTGATGTGCGTTGTGGGCTGGTTACTGGCTTCGTTGTTTGCCTGCTCGCCGGAAGAGCGGATTGCGCTGTTTTTTGCCCTCATTACAAAGTCGGAGGTACTTGTTGTCCCAATAATTCTTCAAATCTTTCATGAGAATCGCCAGGCGGCTGTGATACTTCTTCCTTCGTTGATTTACCATCTCATCCAGGCATTCACGACGGGTATGCTGAGTTTCCCGCTGCGCCGGTGGCGGTGTCAATATAACTGCCGCCCCGGGACGACGCTGCTTCCGCTGCGCCTAAGCCGCGTGAACCGGTCCCCCTCAACAAAGCCGTAGTTTTACCTCTGAAGTTTCTGCAGAGTTTTCTTTTTAAGGACACATCTTCACTGAATTGATTACTGCTTGTGTGTGCGTGTGTGGGTTTGGAAGAGAGAGAGAGAGAGAGAATGAGCATTTTCTTTTTTGTTTTTTTGTTTTTTTCTTCCTTCCTTCCACTAAACCTTCATGTGTCAACGTGTTATACCCATCACAGAGAAGAACTCCCACCCCCCTTCACTACTTTTGTTTTTTTTTTTTTTTCTTTTTTAGTCAGCGGCATAATGAACGAATGTTCATGTTTGACGTTGCGTAAATTCGTATCATATGGATCTTTTTCCTTCTGTGTTTTGTTTTGGTTTGGTTTGCTGGAAGAAATTTATTCTTTTATTGCTGCTGCAAAAGGAGAGGCAAGAGGGCGGTGAAATGTTGGGAAAAAGGCCGTTTTGCATTTCCGATGTATTTTGGCTGGCGACATGTATGCTTCTGTGCCTCATGGCGGTCGCTGCTGCCTATGAGACGAGACCGGAGGACGGGCTCCGCGAGCACAAGTGTGTACACGACGAAGTGGCGATCCCATATAATGCGCTCCCTTACACAGATGTGACGTACAGGAGTGGCATCAGAAATATGAAAGTCTTTTCGGTTTTTATGACTGCTGCTCGTGAGAATATTCGTTTTCACGTCATTTTTATTCTAAATAAATCTTGCAGCGGCGTTGGACAATTTGTTCCCAACTTCTTGGGGAATGGAGTGAGGTGCACCGCCGATGACATCTTGACGCCGAATAAGATCCGGACGATAAAAATTATGGTGAAAAAGGCGTGTAATTATTTGGAACGGGCAATTCTTGTGGACCCATTGGACGAAATAAATGTTATTGCAGAAAGCTGCCCCTTCTTGGGCCACTCTTCCCTGCGAGTTACAGAGAAAGACTACGTTTTGTTTGTAACCGCCAACCCACGGTCAAGTGCGCGTGGTGTGATTGCCTGGGCCCATTGCTGCGAAAGAATCTCCACAGGCCGGCCTTCTGTGGGACACGTTAATTTCATCCCCTCTTCTTTTGGTGAATACGCCACGGAGAAGGACATCCACGTGGCGATGCACGAGATAACGCACGCCCTGGGCTTTACGGACCTTGCCACCAACGCCAAATCTCATGTGGGGCCGGGAGGGAAAGTAGTGCCGGGTTTCGTGCGTGTGCTCCGACCCAAACTAGGCAAGGCGGTGACACTGGTCACGTCACCCAAGGTTGTCGAGGTGGCGCGGAAGCATTTTGGTTGTCCCACGCTTGACGGGGTGGAAATTGAAGATGGCGGCAAATCCGGGACAGCAGGCTCGCACTGGAAAAAGCGTATATTGTACGAGGAGGCACTTGTTGGATCTATCACATCCGCGAATCTCTTTTACTCATCTTTCACACTTGCATACTTGGAGGATCTTGGGTACTACTCCATCAACTACAGTATGGCGGAGGATAACTTTCGATGGGGAAGAAACCGCTCGTGCCGATTCCTCTACAATAAATGTAACGATCAAGACGAGGACGTGGATGAATTTTGCTTTGGTAAAGGCGACGCGAAGAAAACTTCATGTACACATGACTTTCTAGGAATGGGCTCGTGTGACATTATGAGGCATAATGCGGTTCTTCCAGTGGATTACCGGTATTTTACTGATCCACGAATAGGTGGAAGCACACCACTAATGGACTATTGTCCGTCTGTCCAGGTGTACTCCAATTGGAACTGCATTAGTGAGGTCACGGCAGAAGTCCCGAATTTTCTTGGTAATGAAATGGGGCAACATAGTCGTTGTTTTTCATCGAACCTCGTGACTGGTGCGTCACCCTTCTTTTCTACCGGTTTCCGGTGCTTTCCGACGGTCTGCACAAAGTCTGGACAGATCCTCCTACGTGTCCAGGGGCAAACCGTGCCATGCCCTCTGAATGGCACTGCGGGCGAGGCAGACACATCTCATTTGAGAGGCGTTCAGGGCAAAATAGTCTGTCCTGCGGCGAGTCTGTTGTGTGGAGATAAGGAAAGAAATGTTTTTTCCGAGTCCTTTCATTATTCCAGTAATATGATAGAAGAGCCGGTAACGGCAGATACGAAACGCAGTGCTTCAGAATTTACAAAAAATTCTTCGAGATTATGCGAAGAACGGGTGAAGTGTGCGGAGAATATTACCTCATTTTTTCCGGCATGCCGTGTTTCGGCCCAACTGATCCTTGATTGTTTTGGCAAAGACTGCCCCTTGGCGATGCGCATGTGGATTGACCGCACCGCACTCTTGGAGCAGTGCAGGCACCCAAAGTTGATAGCTGAATTGTGTCTTGACGGCTGGATGGGAGCTCATCTTTTATGTGCCATTGCCTCCTCCACTTCTGCGGCAACAGCAACTTATTTTCCTATTATTGTTGTGTGTGTCATGCTACTGGCCATTGTTTTTTTCTAGGAGTGGTATGATGGTGTTAACTTGCATGTTTAACCTACGTGAATATTGGCTAACTGGAGGAGAAAAGGCATTGCACCACGTTTGGCTTGTCTCTGAGGCGCTGTATGGCATAGATATTGTAATGCATACATGAATATGCCTTAGATTGTACTTCTATGAGTGTCGTACTAATCCCTGGTATCTCGAGTTAGAAGTCTATTATATATAATATATACTCGGTGTCGAAATATGAGTTTATGTGTATATGAATTTGGTTTATTTGTATGCCGCATATAACCCTTCAACAATGAGGTGACGCAAAAAGATTCGATTGTTTATTTATTTGTTGTTTGCTTGTTTTTTATTTATTTTTTTATTATTTTTTTTTTATTTTTTTTTTGGGAGGGGTTTCTGTGAAACGCTTTTTCTAGAAGCCCGTGGAAGGAATGTGCGACAAGAGACGGTGTCTGTTAAAATAACAAAAAGTCTTTTGGGTGTTCTCTTCTTTCTTTGTGGATTAATTGTTGTTGTTTTTATTGATGTTGCGTTGGGATCCAATGCGTGTGGCCTTTTTTTATTATTTTTTTTTATTTTTTGATGTGGGGTTCGTTAAACCTTCTTTATCACACACACACACACACACATCGTCGCGGGGAGGACTGAGGGAGCGGGGAAAGAAAGAAAGAAAAAAAAAGGGGAAGAAGACGCTCGTAGGACTCTGGCGATGGGATCCCTGAAACTAGTGGGCACGGATGTAGCAGATATCGACGTGGCTCAAGCATGCATGAACCATGCTCTCACACGAGTGGAACTGGAGAATTGTGATCGTGTGACGGATTTGAGTGCGTTGGCGACTGTCCCGACGTTGGAGGAGGTGCACATCCGTGACTGTAGACGGGTGCGATGTTTTGGACCTTTGGGGCAAACACAAACGACGCTCCGAAAACTTGTCTTGTCAGGGACGCCAGTAACGAAAGCGCAACTGCGTGAATTGACGCGTTTGGGTCAAATGGAACTTGTCGTTGATAATTGTGGGGACGATCCGAAATTGGAAAGGCCCGCTCAATCCCTCGTCAAGTCGTCTATTGACATGATTCGAGAAGTGGCGGAACGGTTCAAGCCTGAGGAAATAGGCGTTGCCTTCAACGGCGGCAAGGACTCCGTTGTTATGATGGACCTTCTTGAGTGTGCATTGGGGCCTGAGGTGTTGTCGAGGTTTTGCGTGTTTACTCTTGGGGCTTCTGGAAGGGAAGAATTTGGCGAAGTAGTTGCCTTCAGGGAAGCATATCTTGAAAATCATGGACTGACTGGAGTAAAGACGGATTTATCGCTGTCCATGAAGGACGGTCTTGCGCAACTGAAGGAATCAAAAGGAATTGCCCTTGTTTTTATGGGGACTCGCAGCAGTGACAGTGCGCATCAAAAGAAGAGCGTGGAGCCCACAACGGCTGGATGGCCTGAGATGCTGCGTGCCTGCCCGGTTTTTCACTGGGGGTATGAGGACATATGGGGGTATACTCTTGCGTACAATCTTCCTTTCTGCGTCTTGTACAAAATGGGATACACGTCCCTCGGTCTCCGCGGTGCGACGGCGCCGAACGTTCTTTTGCGCCGCGGCGACGGCACCTTTCGTCCTGCATGGGAACTGCATGATGATTTGGAGGAGAGGAACGGCCGTGAGGTAAATTCCTCGTAGATGTTGTTCGTTTGTGTGTTTGTGTTCTTTTGCGGTAGAGGAGAAGGCAGAGGGGCATGTGTTTAATTGTTTTTCTTTGTGTGTGTGTGTGTGTGTGTGTGTGTGTGTGTGTCTTAATTTTAACGTCTATGTTTGAGAAAGGAATTTTTATTTAAATTTTTTTTTTTCTCCTATCTCACCGCAATGCCTCTTTTTTTTTGTTCTTCTTATTTCTGCTGCTTTTTTGTTGCTGTTGTTGTTTTTTGCTGCCGTTACTGCGTACGTTTAGTTTGTGTTTGTACCTTGGCGGGACTGCAGACATGCATACACTTGTGTACGTGTGTATGGGCACCATTTCCCTCAGCTCCTGTTATTCCCAATGTATATATATATATATATGCATATATACATGTACAGCAGAAGAAGTATCAACTGTGTTTCCCGCGTACTTTTTTTATGTTTCTCCAATGTAATATTACATTTATTTTTTTTTTGTTTGTTGTTTTTGTTGTTTTGTTTTCTGCTCTGTTGTTTCTTCTGACAGCGCATACTTACGTGCTGACTGGCACGGCAGTTCACTGCGGAGGGGATCCCACTCACTACGTGTGAGAGTCATCGTGTGCATCCATTTATTGGTTGGTGAGTGAGTGAGTGAGTGGGCAGGTGGAAGGAAAAGAACGATGATACGTAGCGGGGCGGCGTTCAACCCCATGCGCCGCACGCCGCCACCGCCACCGCACATCGACACGTTTCAATTAATTCCCGATGATTACATCAAAATGACATCGGCGGATGGCCATAATTTTCTTGTGCATTACAACTGTGCCCGCGCCTCGCCACTCATTCGGAAGTGTTTTGCCGACCGTGTTGACCTCGATCTCCCTGCCGTAAGCATCAGCTGGGGCGAGACCGAGAAGAGCCCGCCCACTGTTCACTTCCCAACCCTGGCGGCAGCGCGATTAGAGGTGATTATTCAATACCTGTACTACAAACACCGCTACGAGGGGGAAACGGAGGGCCGGCCGTCTTTTGATATCCCGGTGGAGGCCGCACTGGAGGTGATGAAAGTCGCAGAGACGCTTCAGTGTTGATGATCCGCACACACACACACGCACACACTTTGAGTATATGTATGTGCCGAGTATTCTCAGCAGTGGATATCCCGCAGAAAGGGAAGAGTGACAAAAATGAAAATAAAGCTAAGGATGGACACACGATCGTGCCGCCATGAATATGGCTGGTATTTATGTACGAGTTCTCACGGGTGGAATGAAGGGGGGTGGTGAAGAAAGGAAATGAGGCCCGTAAAAGAGTATTTTGTCAATTTTATTTTTGTGAGATCCTGCGGAGGAGAGGTGAGTTTATTGTTACTGTTGATTGTATTCTGCCGTATATACCTAATACATGTACAATATATATATATTGTACGCCTGCCTCATTCTATTTGTGCATGCTTGAGGGAGTGGATTTTTTATGTTTTTGTTGTTGTGATGCCTCTAAAAAATATGCGTCTCATTTTGTTTATATGTATATATATATGGCGGTAAAACAATATGTTTTTTTTTTTGTTGTTATTTGCCTGTTGTGGTTGTGTAGTGACCGCCCCTCACTCCGCTGCAGGTGGAGGGCCATGTCGAAAAAGGCACGTGCGGCGCCGCCATCGGAGCCGTCTGTTGTCTCACCGATTGCTTTTGAAAAGTCTTACATGATATGCCTGCGCACTGCGGATGACCGTCTGTTCTTGGTGGATCGCAACTGCGCCATGGTGAGTGGGGTGATTCGGTCTGCAATGCGAAAGGAGAGTCATAACGGCGATGCCGTCACCAGTAGCGTCACTACACCCCCAGAGGCATATGAGATGACAACCATTGGGACGGAGAATCACGAGACGATCAGGTTGGAAGAAATTAGCGGTGACCTGCTGGAGCTTGGGCTGGAGATGATGTACTTCAAGTATAGGTACGATGGAGACCCGGAAAGGCGTCCTCTGGAACCGCAACACTCCCCAGAGAACAGGCATAAACTGGCGGCTCTGAGTGTGTTGCTGGATATGTAGTTAGATGACGTAAAAAGGGGTGCCTTGTCCTCAAGACCCTTGTGGAGGGAAGAAGGAAAAGCTGATGCAGAGAAGGCTCGCAATAGTCGCAATAAATAAAAGGGAGTGAGACACGCTTCTCAGTTTACCTTAAAAATTGGCTGGCACTTCTACTTTTTAAGGTTTTCCATTTTGCTTTTTTTTTTTCTTTTGTCATGATTTTTATTTTCTTGAGGGGTTTTGTGGTAAACTAGCGGGAATGCACGGGAGTGAGGTGGAGCTGTTGGATGCGGAATTGGGCGACACAAGCGGGGAAGAGATGAGAAGTCTCTCCTCCGCGGCGGATGCCGATCTCGAGTGGATTCCCGAGGAAAATGAGCCCGACGAGAGTCAACTGATTCATGAAGATTATTATGCGGAGGAGGAAGAGGACGGAGAGGATGAAGGGCCGCACTTCATGGCATCGGCTTTGAGCAAAGCCTTTGCGCGCGACCTGGTGAATCAGAAACTACAACAACAAGAGGGGGAAAACACAGGATTAGGATCGCCGTATACTGCGGAGCAGGAAGCTGTTGAAGGAAAAGTCAAGAAGGCGAAGATTTGCTGTATATGTAGCGATGCAGCCGTGTACACATGTCCAGGCTGCGGCGCAAGGACGTGCAGCAACGTCTGCGTGCAGATGCATAAGAAGGAGTCTCAATGCAAGGGAGAGCGTGACATTGCCAAGAAGGTGCCGTTGAGTGAGTTTACAGATAGACAGCTGCAGCGCGATTTTCATTTCTTGGAGGATGTCAGTCGGATCATCAGTAATTGTCGACGGGGATTTTCAAAGTTTTGGCGTTACACCTTTCGCGCACTTCCCCCACCGCTACACGCGTTGCGGGAGGCGGCGAAGAAAAGAGGCGTCGTGTGCCAAATCACGTCGGAGGGAATGACGAAGCGGAATGAGAACACATCTCGCTTTGACAGAAGAACGGAAACGATTACGTGGCGTTGTCAGTTTAACTTTCACGATCCCGACTTCACTGTTGTTACCGACTGGGGCAGCGAGCGCCATCGGCTTGGGGATATTGTGGCCTTCTGTTGGTCCACGAATCCACCGCTGCCGTGCTTCCACATCAACCGGCGGTACAACCGCGCCTCAAGGTGGATCGGGACCGCGGAGCACAACGAGGAGGTTCTGGGGGAAGAGGGGCGGCAGGAGCCGACGACGGAGGAAGGGGAGGGAGAGACGAGGGTTGAGAACGTTGCGACATCCAGTCGAGTCTTTCTCGACAAAAAAGCGCATTGCCAGGAAGCGTGGAGTCCCTGCCAAGTCTCCATCACCCCACTGTCGCCTGCGGAGGCGCGGAATGAGAAGGCCGTTGCGGCATTCCTGGAAATGGAGCCCGCCATCATTCTCTCACGGGCTGAACGTTTGGGAATGCGGCAGAAGTACTTCCGTATGTCGCCCTCGTGCACATTGAATGAAGCCCTTCGTACCCTTTTTTTCATCAGCGAGTTTCCTGTCTTTGATGTCATCCACGCCTCCGCGCTGGAGGCCTATCCGCTTGTCACCGAGGCAGACAAGGAATTTATCCGAGAGAGTTTTCGTGCGGCACCGCGGCCGGCTAGGCCGGAGTGCAGGCCACGGCCTACAAAGGCAGATCTTAGCCCTGAAGAAGCTGCACGCTTTGCAAACGTGCCTTGTCGTATGTTTCTTGCTGGCAGCTGCAAACTCGCCGAGGGTGCGTGTCCGTATTGGCATTGCGCGTACAACGAAGTTCCGGCATGTCGTAATTTTGTTAAATTCTCCATTTGTGAGAGAGGCAGTTCCTGCATTTTTCGTCACGACACCGCTGCTGTGACGGCGGCTCGGAAGCGGATGAGAGAAGAGCGCAAACATCCATGCGAGCGGAGGAACAAACGACGCTATGAATAAACTAACCTTTCAGGCCAACACACAGTGGGAGGAAGGGAGAAGCGATGAGCGAGAGAAATGGTGCGAGACGTGTAAAAAGCTGCGGTCGGATGCATATAAATATATTTATTTATTTATTTATATGCAACGCCGCACAAGAAGTGAACAAAAAGAAAATATAAGAGAATTTTGTTTGTTTCTTTTTCTTTTCTTTTTTTGTCTGTGTGTGTTTATTTCAACAGGTAATTATTTATTCTTTTTTACATTAAACTGGGCGTTTTTTGCCTGTCGGTGCATGGAGTGAAACGACACATCATTTGCTTTTGATGAGCGTTTCTGTCTTCTTTATTCCTCTTCTTGCCTTCTTTTTTTCATAGGCGGGGTTGGACGAATAGTGAAGAGAGGTGACCAAATTGAGTGAAGGGAGGGTGAAAAAAAAAGCCACAAATTAGATCTACATATACACGTCAGTTTCGCTTAGCGACATTCGAGTGGTTCCTGAGCCTCTTGCAGGAGGAGAAGGGGACCGGTAGGGGGTGAGGCAGCAACACGGAGCGGCAGCAATTGGCAGGCGATGCGGGAGGCTGAAAAGACGTTTTGCATCCTTCAAGAGGCACTGGGAAAGGCCGTGAAGTTTTTTTCGACCGGTGTTACGGTGGATGGAGTCCCGCTCACGCAACAACAGGCCGTCGATGTATTGGATGTGTACGACACTCTCCTGGATGCGGAAGAGCCAGAGTCGTATGATGCCCGTCGCTACATCCTGTGTCGTTCTCTTGAATGTGGTTTTATGCGATTCCTTGCAGAAATTTTAACCCAACCGTTTCAGCATCTGCATGAGTTTGATGCCCAGGTGACGCAGCCGTTTTTGCCGTTTCGAATGAAGGCTGTTAAGGCTCTGCAGCGGCTCTTATTGGCATGTAGCGACATGGGAGAGGACTCATGTGTTTCCTGCTTTCGTGTCGCAGTGGAGGAGGAGATAATACCGCTACTTCTTCGAGCACTGTCCGAGTCGCCGTATGAGCCATTGCGACTGGGTGCGGCAGAGACGCTGTTTATTTTTATTTTGCGCATAAGCCACGGGCGCACAGGGTTTGTCTCCACCGGTGGCGTCAACGCCATGTGTCGTTCGCTGATGGGTGATGGCAGCCACACTGTTCGAAGTATGTGCGCAAGTATACTTCGTGAATTGGTGAACACACACGTCGCCGAGTTCAACAACCCTACAACAGTGAAGGTAATTCTAAAGAGCCTGGAAGATACTTCTGCGGATGTACGAACTCTCGGCGTGGAGATTTTGGAGCAAACCTTACGAATTTGTACGAGCAGCATCGCATATGTCTTACAGGATTCTCAAAGTGTCTTGTTGCCATTACGACGTATTTTGGATGACGACCCCAGCGTGGAGGTGGTGGTGTCGGCTGCACGCCTATTGGAGACGTGTTGTGAGGTGGCGGACATGATGCATCTTCACACTTTTTTTAAGTTTGTCGTGTCCATGGGTCTTGTGAAGGTCTTGCTGCTTCGAATACGCGACGGGGGCGAAGCCGGTGCTGCACGCGCACGAGGCCTGCGTCTGCTGATTCAGCACACACCGGCTTCCTATGAGCTTCCGCGGCAAATCTTTCACGACACGGAGGTGCTTGCCGTGCTGTTGAAAGGAATTGTGGACGCGGGACGTGGCCGCACCACTCCTGGGGAAGAATTTGCCGCCTTTCAAATAAAGAGTCTGGAGCTGGCGATTTGTGTTGCCATTATTCTGACGCAGTCCCCGGAATACCGCGAGGTACTCGTGGAGGAACTGAAGGAGTACCCACAGTGGGCTGCAGCGATTAAGAACGCCGTGATTTCGCTTCTTAATGCGGCGTCTTTGGAATATTTTGTCAACATTGAGTTGCGGGACGTAACTGGGCACCATCTCAATGCGCTGCATGGGGTCCCATGGGAAGCTGACAACACACCGCAGCGGGTGTACATTTATCGGCTTTTCCAAGAGCAGGCGCAACGTGTAATCATGTTGCGGGAAAACGCATTGATCGATGAGGAGGCCCCGTCTTCTTCTCGAGCAGATGTCCGTGACATTTTGGAAGAGGAAAAGCAGGGAAAGAAAGTGCGTCTGACTTTTATTTTGCTGGTTTTTGCCACGAACATTACATTTCCCGTGGAGAGTCAGGCGGCAGTGAAGGAGGTGGCTGACGAGCCGCCCTCTCCACAACCACGTCCTGAAAGTCGTGCGGTGCCGAGATTTCCGCCATCGACGCTGGCGGGAAGCAAACATCGTGAACATGTGCTCTCTTCCAACGGCCTTGTAAGCCCCACCAAGTGGAGGAATAAAATTCAGAGCAAAAAGCTGCCGGATGAAAAGGAGGCAATGGCCATTGCGTACGACAAGTTTAATTCCTCCATGTCTTTTGTAATGAAGTTTGCACAACAATTTGGAAAGACGAAGCAAAAGGCGGACGATGTCGTGGAGACGGAAGACGGTTATTTCCTGCGCATGTCACGTTTGAAGAATCCCTGGCATGCCATTGTGAAGCATCAGAAGTTAAAGACATGGCAGGTAAAAGACTTGAGGGTGGGGGATCTCTTTTACTTTTCAATACCGTTTGATGAGATCGGAATAAAGGCCTTGGATGTTGTTCTGTACAAGGCTCGTCGGCACATGATGTATCTCAAGAAGGAGCTGCTGATAACACCTCACAACAGCAAGGGCCGTCGATGGTTTTTGGATGACATGGCAAGAAATATTATGCCAAAAGCTCTGGACTACCTCGAGGATCTCAAGGAACTCATTCAAAGTCGGGGAGCTGATGGTGTCCGTTTTCCCATTTTTCTCTTTCGCGAGAAGGAGCTGCACTTTGGCGAACGGGCCCTACACCCAGGTAACATTGTGGAGGTTTTGGATCAAATTGGCTTTTACTTCTCACAGAGCTTGGATAAAATTGTTGGGGTGGATAAGTCCCGCCTGCAGCAGCTCGCCGAACAATTGGACAATATCGAGGGGAATGCAGACATGCCGGACACCTCCATACATTTTTGTTCTGTTGGCCCGCATGATACAACCGCTGAAGGGATGAAATTGGATACGGAAGAAGCAAACGAGGAGGATTATGACGGTGGCTACGGGCATGGAACGATTAGCTCTGACACCGAGTCAGACTTTTAGGCAACGAGGAAATGTCTCTCTATTCCGATATTCCTATTTCTTTGCACACACGGACATCTCTTTGTTGTTGTTGTTGTTTTCTCTCAATGGTTATAAGTGGAGAGGGGAAAAGAGGCAGGAAAATAGAGAATGAGAGAGATGACATGACATGTTTTTTTTTTTGTTGTTGTTGTTTTTTGCTTGTTTGTTGAGCTTTATTTCCCTTTTGTCAGTACTGGGCGCAACCTTCATTATCGACGCTGTATAATTAATTTATATTTATTATTATTATTTTATTATTCTTCCTTCTTTTTGGTGTGTGTGTGTGTGTGTTTGAGAGTCATGGATGGAGAAAAAAAAAGGAGTTTGTCCATCGGCATCAACCAATTGGACCAAATTCTGTTGCTGTTTGTTACCATTTTCTCTCTTTCTTGCCTACCGCTGCTCTGCCGTTTCATATCTTCCTTTTTTTTTTTTTTTTTTTTTTTTTTGCTTTGCGCTGCCTCCGTGTGGAACATTTTTTTGGCCTGCCCTTTTTGTTTGTGTATGTTGTTTTTTGACTGTTTTATTGTGAGACTGAGAGGTGCGGAGTGCCCAGCGGGTGGGAGAGAAGTGGGGAGAAGGGCGTGGCGCTGAAGGAGGGAATAGCGTACACAGAAGATGGCACGTGAGGATAGCGAAGTGAGGGTGCTGCAGGATCCGTTGACGTACATGAGAGCCATTCACAAAGACGCCGGTGCTCGCTGGGTGCTTGGGCTCAAACCCGTGGAGGACGAGATGGAAGCACGAGACAAACATTCCGAAGACACATTCACGGGTACCACGCTTTTTCCAGAAGTAGCAGGTCGATGGAGTAAAGGGTGGCTTCGTGTTCCCATCCTGTTGGGTTTGGCGTGCCTTGTTCATCTTGTGTATGTTATCGCCACGGGAAACAAAAGAAATCCCCTGGACTTTCCATCGACTGAAGAAGAGCTGTGGAATTACAGTCGATGGCAAAAAGATGGAATGCTGGGCTTCTTAAAGAGAGTACGGCACCTTTGGCTCACGTCATCACTCACCGCATCGTTTACTCTGGCGCTCTCATGGAAATTTGGCACAGCCGCACGGCATTTTTTGGCACTTTGTGGTGTAGGCATCTCGCTGTTATCTGTTATGGCAATGATTGCTCAGTTTATTATATTGTGGGCTGCCTGTGGCGAGTCGCCAATAAGCAAGGTAGAGGAATGTAGCGTTCCATTTGTCTTGTATTGGACATTTAGCGTCATTCGTCTGGGCGGCCCGCCGCTTGCCGTATGGGGCGTGGGTCCCGTGCTGGACATCATCTGGGATTCACGCGCCTGGTGGAAAATTCTGCTGGGTCTTCCCTTTTTTTTCTTTACGGTATCTGTGTCGCTTTGGGTGCTGAACGAGCCTGTATTTTTTGGCGGCGATGACGTTTATCAATGGTGTGGCTACGTGACGTTGGCCTCATGGGGACCTCTACTGGTCCTCTGCTGCAGGCAGAGGCGTTTTCAATTAGTATTTGTGGAAAAAACTCACAAGGAATGAATCGTGCGTTATCACGGAATCATTACACGGCCGGAACGGGTGAATGAAAGAAGATGTGTGTCATATTGACTCATATTCCGTTTCTGTATATGTGTGTGTATGTGTTTGCGTGTGTGCTTGTTAAGTATTTATATATGCGGTCTAATTTATTTTTTTTTTTTGTTGTTGTTGTTGTTGTTGTTATTTTGGTCTTATCTTTTGCAATTCTCCGTAATATTTCCGCACATTTCTACATGCGTGTGTGTGTGTGAATATTTTTGGAATTTGACTGGCTATTTTTTTTTTTTCCTTTTTTCCCTTCTCTGGATGATGGGTACCTCATGCGCAGTTTGAATGGAGACACGTGGAGGGATGGCCGTGCATCTGTTGCCGCGAGTGTGCGCTACTCTGCCACTGCGACTGCTGGACTGCTCCTCCTGTGCTCTTCTTCAAGCGCTGGGGCAGAAGCCGACGAGTGTCACTTTTAGCGCGGCTGCTAGGTTTGCCGTAGATGCCATCACGGGCGCCGTTTTTGTGGGGGGCGCCACGGAAACACTTGTACCCTTCACTTTGTTACAAACGCTACACGAGTCTGTGTTGGCGACGTCAAGTGAAGCACAAAGAAGAGCGGCATGGGAGGCAGTTTCTGGGGGTAACCAGTTGGTGGTTCTCGTAGAGCCATGTGATGTGCCGCGGCTAATCAAACAATTCCCCCAGTACAAGAAGGTGTGCATGTGTGTGCCATCAGGGCCTCTTGCCTCACGGATGCTCTTTGGGCAGAAGCACTTGGAAGAATTTTACGCGGAGGATCTCACCCCAGCAATGGCCGCGTTGTCATCCGTAGAAGGGTACAGCTGGACGGCGTGGCTGCGCTCGTCATTGACGTGCCGCTTTGAGGGGCTTTATGTCCCCAGCATACGTGTCGCCGAGAGTGTGGCGCATTTGTTGAGCTCCGACGGCGGTTGTGAGCGAGTGGTGCTTGAAGAAGGCATCCGCGGACTTACTCCAAGGTGGTTGGAGACCGTTATGAAGACGACGTCCTCGTGTGGTGTGCCGTTGGAGCGAGTGACACTCGCATTGTGTCGCAACGAAAAGAATGATGGCGATCTGTTCTCGCGGGCTATGGGAATGGGCATTGGCAGTCTGGCGGCCTCCACCGTACCCGCACCGCTCTTTGCACATACAGAGGAACTGGTGGGCATTGACGATGTGGTCACATTTGCAACTGGGTGGAATGACGTGTGCGGGGGTATCAGCGCGGAGGAGTTGGCGTCTCTCGACGACTGTATCGAGTATTGTGGCGCGATGAGAGAGGAGTGGGACCGGCGGTGGAGGGGAACGGGAAATTATGTTCATTGAATCCCTCACACCAATTTCTTTTACACGACACAATTATCAATCACAGTTTTTTCTCCTTGCAGTATATTTTTCTTTAATTGTGTGTTTGTGTCGCCCTCCTCTGTTTTTTTGTTTGTTTGGCTGTTTCTCTGTATTTATTTCTTTTTTTTTTTTTCTTTTTGTTGGAACTTCTGCCTCTCTCCATTTCCCATGGCACAGAGGGAATTGCGTACACACCGCACCTTGCGCTTGGCCTAGCTAGAGATGTTTGCAAAAAAGCGGTCCGCTGTACACGAAGTCCGAGGGCATACGGCAAGGCGGGGTGGGGGCGGCGTCACACGCAATGACATTGGCTGTGGCATTGTTGGCTGCTCCCTCTGTGCTTCTGCCGTCTGCGGCGAACGTGGGCCATGTGTCGTTCCCACCTCACTCATCATCATCCCGGACACCAATGTCGTCCTGCACAACATGAATGCCCTTGAGGACGCCCAGGTACAGAACATTGTATTCCTGTCGACTGTTGTGTCGGAGGTGCAGAATCGCAACAAAGGCATTTACGCGCGTCTTCAACGTCTCTTGGGGGAGGAACGAAAACAGTGCTACGTCTTCTCCAATGATCGCCACGAGCAGACACATTGTATGGTGGAGCGGGAGGAGACCCCCAATGATTACAACGATCGTTGTATCCGAGTAGCCGCACGGTGGTACGGACGGCACGTCTCCCTTGCCTTTCCGGCGTCGCCACCGAGTGTGGCCCTCATCTCGCACGACAAACTGCTTCGGCAGGCCTTTGTCACGGCTACCGAGGAGGTCGCCACACCAAATCTTTCCTGTGTCACGCTACGAGAGTTTGTTGAGAAGGCTGTAAGCACACGGTCAGATCTTTTGGAAAAGATTCAGTATGAGCAGCCAGCGGGGATGAAGGAGTCGTCCAAGGTGGGTGCTCTCTTTCAGCAACATGTGGCGGGCGGTGCTCTGTTGATGGGCATAAATAACGGCACGTACCTTCGCGGTAAGCTGCGCGTGAGTGAGACCAATTGTTTCTTTGGGGAGATACGCGGGCAGTGGGAGGGGCACAACTTTTCACGGGTACTGCTGCCTGGTCGCTCCAATTTGAACCGTGCTATTCATGGCGATATTGTTGCCGTTGAACTTCTCCCGGTGTCTTCTTGGCGTGGCCCGAAGGACGCAAAGCCGCTGGATGAAAACGCAACGGAGGCGGCGGCTGTTGCGGGAGGCTACATGCCGGTAGGGAGGGTGGTTGGCATCACCAGCATGGAGCGCAGGCCGTTTTGCGGTAGTATTGACGTCGAGGAACTCACGCGGCTCACGGCGTCGGAAGGGAAAATTTCCGGTGCAGTCAGTGTGTTATTCCAGCCAAAGGACAATCGGATTCCACGAATCCGCATTTCCACGCGGGACCTGGAGTATTTGAAAGACAAGCGACTGAGTGTTATTATTGACGACTGGCCGGAGTACAACAGTTTTCCTGTGGGTCACTACGTTGAGGTGCTCGGAACCATTGGTGACAAGGACACAGAGGCTAAAGTCATTCTCCTTGAGAATGACGTTCCTCACTACGACTTCAGTGAGGCGGTGTATGACTGTTTACCAAAAGGACAGTGGAGTGTGTCGAAGGATGAGTTGGAGCGTCGACTTGACCTACGGGATTTGTGTGTTGTCAGTGTTGATCCTCTTGGATGCCGCGACATTGACGATGCACTGCATTGCCGTGTTGTCAATGAGAACCATTTTGAAGTCGGCGTTCATATTGCGGATGTGACGCACTTTTTGCATGAAAATACAGCTATGGATGAGGAGGCTGCGAAACGTAGCACGAGTGTGTACCTTGTTGACAGACGAATTAATATGTTGCCTCAGCTGCTGACGGAAAATCTCTGTTCCATTGTTTCAAATGAAGACCGCTACGCCTTTTCAATCCTGTGGGAGTTTGATGAGGAATACAACGTGGTCCGCGATTACTTTGGAAAAACGGTGATTCGCTCCCGTGCGGCACTTTACTATGGTGATGCGCAACGCATGATTGACGACGTCAACGACAAGAGCGAGATTGCTGTTTCGCTACGCCATTTGATGAACATCAGCCGGCACTTCAAGGCGATGCGGGAGAAGGACGGTGCCCTCTTCCTCGCCTCACAGGAGTTTAAGTTTAAGGTCGAAAACGACCACGTGAATCCCACGGACATGCAGGTTTACCAGACGTTTGAGGCGAACTCTATGATTGAGGAATGGATGCTCTTTGCCAATGCGGCGGCTGCACGGAAGGTCTACGAGAGTTATCCGCGCTGGACTCTTCTACGTCGTCACCAGCGCCCCGCGGAAAACGCGTTTGACAATTTGAATGAAGCTCTCGAGCGAAAACTTGGCCTTCGACTTGATGACACGACATCCTTGACATTAAACACTTCCCTTAATGCCTGCATAGACCCGGACGACGTGTATTTTAACCAACTTATCCGCATCCTTGTTACACGATGTCTGCGACAGGCGCAATACTTTTCCAGCAGTGAGGTGTCACAAGATGAGTTCTACCACTTTGGCCTTGCCATGCCTATCTACACCCACTTCACCTCCCCTATTCGTCGCTATGCGGACGTGATTGTACACCGGCAGTTGGCGGCAGCTCTTGGCATCATGCAGGTCAGCGAGAAGCACACGGATTCTGTCAAGATGGAGGCCGTTGCAGCGAACATTAATTACCGCCATGAGCAGGCGCAAAGGGCGGGACGCGATTCTCAAAATCTCTTTACAGGCTTTTATTTGCGCAACTTTGCGGGCCAGGTTATACCGGACGAAGACGGTTATGTCGTGAAACTTTCCGAGACGCATGTGTTTGTCCTTGTTCCCAAGTATGGCCAAGAGGGGAAGATTCCAAAGGAGCAACTTGTGCGTGTGCCGGGCCTGCTGGACAAAGTTCGCGTTGGCATTGAGTTGCGTCAGCAGGGAGATGTGCTTCGAACCACACTTGCGTTTGTTCTGGTTGGAATGATGAAGGAGGGCGAAGATGGCAGAGGGGATTTCTGCACGGAGGGGGAAAACAGGGAAAACGGGGAAAACGGGGAAAAGTCGCCAACGGACGACGCGGCAGGCGAAGAGGGGCCGGTGCGAAAGAAGTTTCGACGGAAGCAGGAAGGGGATGAAGGGAAGAACAACAAAGAGTGAAACCCCATCATTTGTTGTTTTTTCCCCAACTCTCCCACTTCAAATGGACGAATTGTATGAGACGTAATACAGAATATTAATATTTTTTTTGTTGCTGTTGTTGTTTGGCTTCACCCAAACATCCCTCTCTTTTTTTTTTATTGTTGCTTTGTGGAGGAAAAGGAGCACATGTTACTTCTGGCTGTGGCTGAAACTCCTTTTCTGCTCTTCTTGTTTTGTTGTTGTTGTTGTTGTTGTTGTTTTGCTCTGCTCTCTGGACATATATGTACATGCATGTATGTTAGTGATAATCGTTTTTGTCTAATGAATGGGAAGTTGCACCGCCTACTCCAGCGGATTGCGTCACCGCATTTGGCCTTACGCTTGACAAAAGAGGAGCTGTGCTTATCCATGGCCGCTGTGGCTCGTCTGCGCCTGCGCAAGGAGGAGCTGCTGCATCTCCCCCTTGACTCGATTATAACGCGAACCCAGCGTGTCAGTCACTTGTGCAGCCCGATAGAACTTGGAATGATTTCAGATGGGGCGTCCGCACTTTTTTGTAACCGCGCGGATATGGCCGACACACTTGTCTGTGAGTTGTACGCAGCAATCGGCAAAGGCGCAGCAACTCGTCTCGATCACGTAACGGCTGTAGTTCGCTACGCATCTACGTTGGGGTCATATAGCAACGAGACAATACCCGTTATTCTCATGTCTGCGCCGAAGATACTAAGCAAGAAAGATTCAGGGAGTACGTTACAACTTTTTCTGCGAGTTGCACAGGCACACCTGTCCGAAACGGAGTTCCATTCATTGGTGAAGGAGCTGCGAAAGAGGGCGAGTCCTGAGCAGATGAAGGATGTGAATGAAAAATGTATTCTGCCACTCATTGAAAGGGGATCTCAAACAGAGGCCGAAGAGGAAAACGATGATGAGGATGATGATGATAACAATAATATTAATAATAATAAGATTGCCTGGAATTCACCGCGCGCACGGAACTGGTTGTCGCAAAGAGTGCGAAGGGACGAGGCATGGTCCCCAGCAGAGGTGGTGCAGGGCATGGAGCTCTACTCCCACTTTGGCATGCGGGACCCTGTTTTACAGAAGAAATTGGATGAGGCGGCGATGTCGGTTATGCCTACAGCAAGCAAGATCCACATGGATGAGATTCTTAAGGTCATGGCAATTTCTTCACATCTTTTCCCTCTGACATTTGAATTTATTCGCCAACTCCGTACCAAAACCCCAGAATCGCATAACAGTGGTGCCAGCAGCGATGAGGATTCCACGTCCTCACTGACGCGGAATTTTAAAACATCAGAGGCGTATGAAAAACTTTTGACGGGTCAACATATACCTGAGGATTGGATGCTCGACGTGATACAGGAGCAAAATGCTGCAGTCCCAGTTGACGTGGCAGCACAGGCTGCCTGCATCTTTGCTGAGAAGGGTGAGATACCAGAAGGCATTATTTTACAGTTATCGATGCAGTTGAGGGAACTTTCTCCAGAAGGATTGGCCGCCTTTCTTAGAGCGATGCGACGGGATCCATCCGGATCCTTGTTTCAGCATAGTGTGGCTCTATCCGCCCAGTTCACCGAAAAAGTTGTGCGGGATGCAACTGTAGAGCAATTACTGCGGATATGTACTGCGTGCTCTTTGCCACTTCCCCGGGGGATTGATACGAAAGAGAGGGGGGTTTTTATGGAGGCTCAAGGGCGTTTGGGGGAAGCCGTTCTCACACGACTCATCTCTGTTATGCAGACACCCTGCACGATCCTTTTTCTCTGTAAGATAACGAAATTGTCGTCGGCCCTTGACGAAAATAATGAAATTGTGCAGTTTGTTTGCTCAAGCGTGTGTGCTCGGACGTCTCTTGCAGTGGATGATGCATTGGAGATTCTGGAAATGCTGCACTGTCGCAAATATGTGCATGAGCCGCTTCTTGACAAGTTGGAACCTATTTTCCGCGAAATTGTGGAATTGGTGGTCTCAAAAATGCAGAGCGGTGAAGAGGTTCCGGATGCTGAGGCACGACAAATTGCGCGTTTTATCGTTTTGCAGACACTCTTTGACGTCCCTGATTTTGAGGCCTCCGCATCGCTTCTGCTGCACACGGCTGAGCAATTTATGGATCGCACTCCCAGCGAGGTTCTTCCAGGTGCGGGTCTTCTTGCCTTAAAGCAAAGGCGAATGGCTACTGTTCACATGATGTTAGGGAAGGTTACAGGCAAGGTGTCTACACTCTCTGATGAGGCCCTTGGCATGCTTGCACGGCTGATCGCTCAGTCTTCGGTGGGCTCACCGGGGAAAAATCTTGTGAATGAAATTGTTTCTGTTGTGGCGGGACGATTGTCACACAAACGACGTTTACCACCAGATGTTGTGGGCTTGGCGGTTGTAGTACACTGCCAGCACGGTGACGCAGGAGATGGCATTCCCGAAAATGTAATGGATTACCTGCTGGAGTGGATGGGGGCCCTCTCTTCAGAGGTGTACACCGAGCTGTGTGGCGCTGCACACCTTTTGAAGGCTGGAGACACGTTGACAAATGGGCTAATCGACGAGTTTCCACTTCGGTTGAATCAACTCACCACGAGTGAAATTGCCAATGTGGCCTTTGGGCTTGGCGAAATTGATGGCATCGGACATCGACTCTCTCATCAGCTTGTTGCAGAGAAGTGCTCGGATTACGTCGTTGACAACTCGCAGGAGTTTTGGAGTGGAACAGACATTGCACGTCTGATATACGGGTTTTCACGCATGTTGTGCACGAAGCGAAGTCTGTACAATGTCTTTTCCACTCGTCTTGCACTGCGGCCCGTATTTTTGCCGATGAACCAGAAGGCGATCAGCCTTGTCGTTGCTGCCTTTGGGAGGTCCAAATACTTGGACAAGAAATTATTTGACAAATTTGTACGCCGAATGCAGGAGTATTCTGACGACCTTGAGGCGCCTGAGTTGATGCTGGCGATCCGGGGATTCAGCCGCGTGATGCTGCTGAATGATCAGCTGTACAATGAGCTCGGTAACAAGGCTGCGGAAAAAGCGAATGAGTTTCCGCTGGATTCAAAGTGTGCCCTGCTCGCCTCTTTTGGATCGTTGGGTATCGAGCATGAGAAGCTGGCGACGCGAGTACTTGATGGCATCGTGGAGAAGCTGCCGGAACTGGGAGATGCCAACAAGGCGGTGGATGTCATGACCTCTTTGTGGCAGATGCACCACGAAGTGGAGACGGATCCGCGCGTGGATCAACTGGCGAATTGGATTGTTGAGCAATCGGAGGAACTCACTGAAGACGCCATTGGGAAGCTCTGCGCTATCCTCAATGATAGGAACTGGCGACATGTTCCGCTTGTAAAGGCCATGGCGGAGCAATCCGTTCGATTGCAGCTTCAGCAAAGTGTTTCAGCCGAGTGCTGCCGAGCGGTGCTGGACACATTAGGCACCTTTATGATTCATCATCAGGGAGCGCGCGAGAATCTCTCGGCCCTTGGGAGAAGTGTAAGTAAGGAAAGGATACAGCTTTCAGAGGAGGAGGAACAGCAAGTTCAGCTCCTGCTACGCCGCTAGTTTACCCAACAGCTCTTCACATTTTTTCCTTTTTATTTTTTTTTTTTTTACCATTTTTATTTGTAAGTAATTGTATGGATGTGGAATGAATTTACTACTATTTATGTCTGGTGTTACGGCCGGTTTAGTACGAGTATTGACAGGTCTCGACTTTCCTTTTATTTCTACGATGGCCGCTAAGCATGATTTGAGCCTATTAAGTGCACCACCCTCTATCCCCTTTCCTCCCTCCCCACCTTATATATTTCTTCATGAAGACACTTTTACGTCTATTTATGGAAAATACGGGAGGCTGAATAAAAACACATTGACAAACAAAGGGATAATGTGCGTGGGGGATATGAAGACATTAGCGCTTCCAGGAAAGCTTTTTCCACCCTTTACACAATTTACATTTCAGTAATTGTGGGAGAGATGAGGCGGTGTGGGGAGTGGCAACCACCATCACCGCCACGAAATGGCTGCTTTCACCTCTTGCCTTTTCTCTTCACCCTGTTGTTGTTATTGTTTTTGTTCCCGATTGGTAGAGAAGACGTCCAAACCATGGCTCAAAACCCCTCAGCAGTAAACAACAAAAAGGAAGTGCCCGACAGGCGAACATGCATTCTTGACACCGTCCTCGACGCCATCGGCTCCACCCCCTGCATCCGACTCAATCACGTGCCGAAGAAACACGGCGTGTGCTGCGATGTGGTTGCAAAGTGTGAATTCCTCAACCCCGGTGGCAGCGTCAAGGACCGCATTGCTCGGCAAATGATTCTGGACGCAGAGGCGAGTGGCCGACTGCGCCCCAATCAAACAATTATTGAGGCGACAAGTGGGAACACGGGCATCGGGCTCAGTCTGGTGGCTGCGGTGAAGAAATACCCCATGATCATCACCATGCCCAAAAAGATGTCACATGAGAAGGAGGTGACCCTCCAGGCCCTGGGAGCGGAGGTGATTCGAACGGAGACCGCATTGCCATGGGACCACCCGGATAGTCTCATTGGCATGGCTCGGCGTCTGGAGAAGGAGAAGGGCTACGTGTTGCTGGACCAGTACCGGAACCCAAGCAATCCGAAGGCGCACTACGAAGGCACTGCTCAGGAGATTTACGATCAGTGCGGTGGAAAGGTTGACATGGCGGTGTTCACCACTGGGACGGGCGGCACAATGGCCGGAGTGGCAAAACGATTAAAGGAATTGCTGCCCAACATTGTCATTGTCGGCGTCGATCCGTACGGGAGCATTTTGGCCGATCCCTCGGTACCGCTGGATCCGAAGCCGTACCTCGTTGAGGGCATCGGGTACGATTTTGTGCCAGATGTCTGCGAACGGAAGTACGTTGATCGGTGGGTGAAGTCCGCTGACAAGGAAAGCTTTGCGCTGGCGTCGGAGGTTCACCGCGAAGAGGCGCTCCTCGTCGGAGGGAGCAGTGGTGCCGCCATGTGGGGTGTGCTGCAGGCAGCGAAAGATCTTCGTCCTGACCAGCGGTGCGTTGTGGTATTCCCGGATGGCATCCGCAACTACATGACAAAGTTCCCGGACAAGAATTGGCTGGTGGAGAACGGCCTGGAGGAGGGCGAAGTGACACGCCCAACCTACGGGTCGCTGGAGGCGCAGCTGGAAGAGGCAAAGAAAAAACTGTCGGAGTATGAGGCGAAATGCGGCGGCAGCGTGGAGGAGGGTAAACGTTGCTGTGAAAAAGCAAAGTAATATATGAATACATACATACATATATATAAATAAAACATAAACATACATAACGGGGCAAAACGAGGTAACTTTTGAATAAATTCTGGGATCAGGGCGAATGCAAGGCAACGATAATTGCATGGGTACGGCAGCATTGTTAGGGAGGGAAGTGGAGTGTTTGGGGGGCACTGCGGGCGAGCGAAGACAAGAGCAAAAAAAAAAAAAGGCGTCCGCCATGAGAAATACCGGGGAAATACGTGCAGGGAGATAGCTGGTGGAACGATGTGTGCGGAGGCGAAACGGAAAACCGGCAAAGCATAAGAGGAATTGCGGGATGGGTGCTGGGGATGATTGATTACCGCAATTAACCGAATACATTACCAACACAACGCCAGAAATGGAGGGGGACCTCGTGTCTTCTACGGGTCCATGCAATCCGGGTTCCCAGTGGTGAACCGATGATGAATGCCCTGCTTTGGCTCCGAGAAGAAGGGCAAAGCAAAGGGGAGGGCCGCGATGTTTTTTTATTTTTTATTTCCTATTTATCTTATTTTTTTTTTTTTTTAATGTGTTCTTCTTGAATATGTTTGGTGTGTGTTTGTTTTTTTATTATTGGGGGCGTGCGAAAAGAATGTCCGCGAGAATGCGGGCGACCTAATTTAATATGTTCTGATAAGACGAATATGTTTCTGTGCGGTTCTTTCCCATCTTAGGGTTCCTTGGAAGACCGCGATGGGAGGAGTCAAGGAACCGATGACGGCAGGATGAATTTTTCATTGTTTTTGCCGTCTAACCCCCTTTTTTGACTCCAACCCTGCGGCGGGGTCTTGTGGTTGGAGGAACTTGAACTCAGCCACCTCGTAACTAATAATATCTCCACTCCGCAGAGTCTGCAGCACGTCACGGTGGCGGCCAGCCGAATACATGTATATATAATTGGAGCGAACAACGAGGACGCGGCGAAGTCACTGTCTCTCCACCACCCCTTCCTTCCCGTCCCATTTTATTTTTATGGAAAAGTCTGGTGTCTGGTCAGCGGCCCGGGCGAATATTTGCGTGACTCGCGCCCGCGCTTGGGGAGCGGTGTGGGGAGTGGCAACCACCATCACCGCCACGAAATGGCTGCTTTCACCTCTTGCCTTTTCTCTTCACCCTGTTGTTGTTATTGTTTTTGTTCCCGAATGGTAGAGAAGACGTCCAAACCATGGCTCAGAACCCCTCAGCAGTAAACAACAAAAAGGAAGTGCCCGACAGGCGAACATGCATTCTTGACACCGTCCTCGACGCCATCGGCTCCACCCCCTGCATCCGACTCAATCACGTGCCGAAGAAACACGGCGTGTGCTGCGATGTGGTTGCAAAGTGTGAATTCCTCAACCCCGGTGGCAGCGTCAAGGACCGCATTGCTCGGCAAATGATTCTGGACGCAGAGGCGAGTGGCCGACTGCGCCCCAATCAAACAATTATTGAGGCGACAAGTGGGAACACGGGCATCGGGCTCA